TGGCTGCATGCATAGAAATGCTAATCATGTGTGGACATGCGGGTTAAAAGATGTTTTTGGTGCAGCAAGGCAAACCGAGTGTATCGTTACAATTCTCCCCCTTCTGGAAGAACGGAGTTAGGAAACACGCAATAGGAGTGGAGCATGACAATGTTTGGAGGGATGAACAGATTCGCAACAAACAGAGAGACGGATACGACGACCTACTGTGAGAAATGAGAATTCTAATGTCTTCTTCTAGAACTGATGCTTATCAGTCAGCGTAATTCAAGCTAATTTAACCGTGATTTTCAGATGACAAATAGGGAGCTAAAGGGTGTCGGCGTAATTACCTCTAAAATATAATGGACTTAAATCCTTATTAGAAGCTCTGTTAGTGTGGGATGCAGTTTCTCAATTATAATGCTTTGAATTCGTTATCATAAGATTCGGCCCTTCGGTTGAGCCACAACCCCATCTTTTACCATATCTCGATTCGTAGATCTAAAGGAATAACTATTTGGTTTAGGTACGAGAAGACTGTTTTCATGTGGATTTTTTTGTGCATGCATAATTTATGGGCAGGGGTACTGATTAGGTTCTTTGAGAGATGTTTTAAATTAAACAGGCTTATTCTACGTCCCATTGCAAATTATAATTAAATGCCTAGAGGTGGAAATTAAGAATTAAACCACACAAGAATGAGCGACATACAGGTTTCTCTATGAATGCATAAAACGTATAAATGTCCAAAATACCATTGCCCTTTCGTCATAGGTTACGCAGACTTTCTCGTCGATTCAATATTCAAAACGACGTTTCTATCTCACCTTTGATTTGTGATGCTTTTGAGCGGGTTAAGAGATTGTCTGATGAAAAAGAGCTAGCCGAAGAGGTCCAATTCACTGAAAACCGTTCGTTAAATGTCTCGAAACTTTTCTCTAGAAAAATACGAACTCATAGAAAGACGCAGCATCCCATCCTCCGAGACGCTCTCGGAAATCCCATAGTTGATGCCCAGTTAACCGCTGATAGCTTCAATGCTTTCCTGTCCAAAACGTTCATTGAAGACTTGATCACTCCACTTCCGACCATCCAGGCATTGACCGGGACAGTTCTCAAAACTATAACTTACACTCTGTGGGATGTGACCGTTGCGATTCGGCGTTTTTGTCAATTTCATAGCCCAGGACCTGATGGTGTCCCAGTAAGCATTTTAGAAGCCGATGCAAATACGATTTTCCCATCCCTCTTATGCAAGGTATTTAATCTTGCTCTTGAAACTAAAACCTATCCTACCATTCCTAAGCATGGCCGATCTAGGTCATTTGATGAATTTCGGACAATAAACACCCTCCCTGCAGTTTCGAAGATCTTAGACACATTGATCAACGATAAGATGATGTGGCATTTAACAGAGAATAACCTACTGAGTGCTGCTCAGCATGGATTCCTCAAAGCTCGGTTTTTTGACACCTGTCAGCTCTCTTTCTTTGACTATATTCTCCAATCTAGGGACCATGGTTTTGCACTTTACACAGTATATTTCGATTCCACTAAGGCTTTTGATCGTGTTGACCATGCTCTTCTTCCCTTGAAACTTCACTCTTTCGTAATAGATGAGAAACTTTTGAATTTTATATCCTCTTACCTGAGCACTCGTACACAACGAGCTAAGATTTCCAATGCGATCTCCAACCCCACATGTGTGAGGAGTGGAGTCATTCAGGGTAGTGTACTCGGCCCACTTCTATATTGCCTTTTCGTTAATGATGTACCCGATTTATTTCAATATGGTAAGCCTTTCATGCATGCAGATGATCTTAAAGTTGCATATCGATATAAGCCGGCAGATCATGACATCGTGCTTGAGCTCCTAAAGAGCGATCTACAGGCTTTTGTCCAATGGTGCCGCACATGGCGCCTTTCTCTTTCTTAGCATAAGGGCTCAGTCATGGTGGTTGGCGACGACCGCCAACCTCAACTAAGTATTGATGGTCACTCCATAAATGTGCCTGGGGTTATTAAGGATCTGGGTGTATCATACTCCAAGAGTCTCAATCTCTCGGAGCCCTGTGCCTTGATAGTCTCCAAAGCACGTAGAACGACCGGGTTTATCCTCCGAAATTTTAAAACTAGGGATATTAGAATGCGTCTTTACAACATGTTCGTTAGACCTGATCCGGAATACTGTTCGTTTTTATTTAGCCTCATGCGTGCTACTGAGCGCAAGAAAAGAGAATCCGTTCAACACTTTTTTATCAAGAGAGTTTTAACCCCGGAACACCGACATTTGTCTTACCAAGAACTTTGCAGGCTTACAAGCCTTGATCCTTTATGGTTCCGTAGATTACAAAAGGGACTTTTTTTGCTATTTAAGCTCTTATATAATCGCACCTTTAACCTACTCACTACTTTAAGACATCATGTTCACCCCCGAAGTAACAGTCACCGTGAGGTCTTTGTATTTCTGCCTCTGGCACGTACTGTTAAATATCGTCGGTTCTATTCTGTAAATGCAATTGCTATTTAGAATAAACTAACCATGAGTGTGAAAACTCTGCAAAATTATCCATTATTTAAGAGAACTCTTACTCGATTTTTGCATTCAGAAAAGCTCCCACAAATTTTGGGTGCTGAAAACTCTGATCGACTCTACCGTAGCGGTGGAGTTTGTGGTCTCTGACTATTATGGCCGGTCACACCAGGAACGATTTCTTTGGCCAACAGCGACAGCTGTTCTTCGGCGCTTCTGTTTGGACTGGCCCCAACTTCGTGAAAGAAAGTGGCGGCTGATAATATCCGATACCTTGCGACCCCTCCTTCTCGACGGTTGCAAGTTTGCCGTCATCATTTTTTCTCCTGAACCCTCCAAACCATAAAAGCTACCATCAACTATATTTTTATTCCTTTTCCACGGGAGTTTTTTCCCTGATGGCCGGATTTGTGTTTAACGCTTCCCTGACAATGCCCGTAAACTGACATTAAATACATTTATTATTATTATTATTAATATTATTATTATTATTATTATTAGTATTATTATTAATTCACAGCAATGCGGAGAATCCCCCTGATTTGTTTTAACTTACTCTGAAGAAGAGAAGACACATCTGTCTTCAGTTGCCGTTTTCCCGGCCAAACGTTTTTGAAGCTAAAATATATTAATAAGGTTTTGCATTTGGTGAATAATATATCTTTCTGAGATCTCCATTTCGGTCTGCTATTTAGTCCGACGATCTGGTTTCACAATTGATAGTCTAAAATTCTAACGCGAACTGTCATCTAGGGAAAATACTCCTCAATTCGAACTATGCAGGTAATGGGTTTCCACGTGTATAACTATGTGGTTGTTTTATTGACTATAAAAGGCGGAAATCACGTTATCAGTCAGTCAAAGAAGACAATGGAAACGTTGTTTTATCCACCGATGTCGCGCATATGCCTTGAGAACCAGTAACGTTTAGGAGTATACCACGAAGACGATTTAAGAAACAACCTCCCCATGGTACTTGAAGCTCCGATTTCCTACCCGGTGCTCGTTATAGATAGTCACAGCTTTTACCGACAAGACCGCGTTGAAGAACGTTGCGGTGGCTGCCCTCTTTATATCAGAGCCTCACTTGCACATTTGCCTTATGACCTGAACATTTCTTCCTTCCTTGAGAATCTCTGTTTCGTTTCGGTAATCCTTCCACAAAAAAAGTAAAGCCGAAAATGAAGACTAACTCCGTGAACTCTTCGAAAACAGCACAGAGACTCCGCTTCATGTCGAGATAATCGTAGGCGATTTTAATCTGCCAAAAATTGATTGGCATACATATACCTCCTCTCCTAACTTCCAGAAGCTTCTGGATACTATTCACTTTTCAGACTTGTCTCAATTGGTTCACTCTTCGACCCGAAAGGATAGTAGATAAGGTTTAATTTTTGCTAATGGCATCCACCACTTATCTGCGGATAATGCGAGTGATAATGCTTTGATTCATTGTTGTCTTCCAGTCTCCATTTCCACAAAGCCAACGGTAACACGTAATTTTTGACTATGGTAATGTTAACAAGAAATTAATGAATAGCTTTACAAGCAATTTCGATTGGTACAGTATTTTTTAAAATTGTCCAAATTTTCACCACGACTTACCACACTCCGTAAAAGAAAGTCGTTAATGAGTAAATAAAATAATTTCATTAAAAACCCATCGGGGTCCCTTCAAAGCAACCCTGCCAACACATGGCCCCGCCTTGTGGGTGTGGCCAAGCGTGGCTGGACGCGGCCATGGCCGCGCCATATTTTGAGAAATTTCAAGAGTCGTTTCAGCCGCTTAGACGAAATTTTCTGTGTTTTAATGCTGCGCATTTGCATAAATATACGTTAATTCACCCAGAAAGTGCCCTGAGTCTGCACTTCTTGGGGAATTATAATTTGCCTGGATAAGCCGATTAGGACGCTTTTGTTTAAGTGGGCCACTTGGACGCCATTTTTCTGCTGCTCGACCGGACGCTCGCGACAAGGTGGTACGTTTTCCCGCGTCGATTTCATGTCTATCGCGTCTTTATGGTCTTACTTACGCAACAACTAATCTCTTTTATGCTATGCAAGTAGGTTTAGTAACTTAATTACAATTTTAATCTCACAGTGAGCGTTTCAAGTGCAGTTCAATTTTGTTAACTTGTTTTATACCCATCAATGAAAGCAATCATGAAGCGCAAGTATTATGGCTTCCATCGGAGCACAATTTACAAGCGGATTGCGCGTGAGAAGAAGGCATATTATGCGCGGATGGCTGATCCCTCCGTTCCCTCTACGTCATCGGTCTTAGACCAACCACCGGAAATAGAAATGCCCGAACTAGTCCCAGAAGTTTGCACTGGTAGTCATTTTACTATGTTACTCAATAGCAAATTTAGAGCCAGTAGAAATAAGCAAGGACGCGGTCGCAGGCAAATGTTTTCTGGCGGATTTACGGGAATTCTTCTTGGAGGCCCAAATACCACTATCAACAACAAAGAAGTTGTTTCGGATGCTGCGGCCCTACCACCCAGAAGTGCCTAAAGACCCAAGGACGCTATTGCAAACGCCTCGGACCTGCATTAGCAAGCCCCTGAACAAAGGCAACTATGTTCATTTAGGTCTTGAACGTGGTCTGCTGGATCAACTGCACAGTCTGCCCGAAACAAGCGTTCCTGAAATGCGCATCCAACTGCATATCGACGAAATGAAGATATTCAAGTGTTCTAGTCAAGGCCTGTGGCCGATTCTTGCCCGTGTTCGCCATCCAGTTTTTGGTCAGCCCTTCATTGTTGGAGTGTTCTCCGGTCCCGGCAAACCCGATCCGTTGGATGACTTCCTGGGCGACTGTGTTGGCGAGCTGAAAGACCTCCTGGCCAGTGGTCTGCGCATTCCACATACGCAAAATAGCGTAAAGGTGATCTTAGACAATGTTATCTGCGACACCCCTGCCCGATGTTTTGTGCGGCAAGTTAAAGCTCACAATGGCTATTACGGGTGTGACAGATATGTTGTTTCGTACCTTTAACTATAACCACCGCAGGTGTTCCCATATGGGCAAACGTATTGCAAACCGCATGACGTTTCCAGTATGCAGTGGCCGTCTGTGTGACGACAGGTCATTCAGGTTGCGAAGACAGGAACCACACCACAAGGGCAGGTCTCCGTTTGAGGATTTGCCCGTCGATATGGTGACCTCCTTCCCACTCCACTATATGCACCTGGTTTGCCTGGGCGTCATGCGGAAGTTACTGCATATTTGGCGTCTGGGCTCCAGCAGGCACTCGGACTCATTGAATGAGTCTATTAAGATGTGCAGCCAAAATTTGCCAGCCGAGTTTTCGCGTAAATGCAGAACACTCGATTGTCTAGAGTTTTGGAAGGCTGCCGAATACAGGCAATTCCTACTGTACATAGGCCCCGTCGTTTTGTCCTCCGCCTTAAGCGAAGCCCGGTACCAACACTTTTTACAGTTTTCCCTCGCAGTGCACATATTTTGCCATCCCATATTGCATATATCTTGCGGAGAATACGGCCGACTTCTGTTAAATCGCTTTGTTGTTAATTTCCCCACCTTGTATAGTCCCTCCGATATTATTTACAATGTCCATTGTCTGCTTCACCTGTATGACGATGTGTCTCGGTTTGGAGTGTTGGATAATTTCTCGGAATTTCCTTTCGAGTCCTTTTTACAAAGTGTCCGCAGCAGTATAAAAGGGCCTACTAACGTAGCCGCGCAGGTTTTCAAGCGCTTTTCTGAAAGACGCTTGCCTGAGTTACCAACATGCCCAATGCTGTTAGACGACGACGAGGGAGTAGCACGGGCATTTAAACTGCCTCGCGGATCCACCGCAATTTTCCATAGGGACTTTGTTTTGTCAAATAAACAGCCCGATAATGTGGTACTTATCGAAAAAAGACCGTGCCTGCTGACATTAGTGTCGGATACCGGCATAACGTACCGCCCGTTCCTTGACTGTGAGGACCTTTTTACAACAGCCCTTCCCTCATCCTCCTTGTATATGTTTAAAGTCTCCCGTTTGTCAGACAGTCCTTCAACTGCTGCCCTCTCAGACATCATTTGTAAGTATGTTCCCTTTGATATTGACGGTCGTTTTTTTCTAAATCCGTTACTGCACACTGTTCATGCGCGGTGACTCTTGTTTACATTGTTCATTTGATATAAATTTCCCTGTAGATGTATTCGGTTGTCGAATTCATAAATGACAAGACTGTGGCCGTGGTGGCTGCAGCCTGGTTTTACGACGTGGGCAGCGTTATGTGGTCTAAGACTCACAAAGAGCGGGCCGTCCTGCTGAAAAATAACAGGCGGCCACCAGACGGCACCAAGGTGTACGCTGTTCGGCTTCTAAAAAGTAACCTGACACTGCTGAAGGCCAGACAGCTGGTCCGGAAAGCAGAGCTATCGGACAATCTTTCTAGCTCTGAGCCGGGCGAATTAGGCAGAGGGATGAGGAGAAAGTACATGTCCCATTCTGTTAATATTTCTTTGCAGGTATGTCCGCAGACAGACGTCGGATTCAGACGATGATGACGAACCACTTTATCGTCGGAGACAGCTACTTGGTTGGCCAACACCACCACGAATATTACAGTAAGCATAATTATCGTTAATTATTCGTACGCCAAGAACGGACGAACAGATGCCCCACGTGTTCTCTCAGTCGAGTCACCCTACGCCATCGACTTCATATCGGTAACTGCCTGTTATTAATTATTACCGAAGGCTGTCTAGGGAAATGCCGGCACCTGCGCCAGTGCCTGCTACCGAACCTGCATGTAGCCATCAGGCGCAGAGTGACACGAATGACGTAAACTTTCTGTTAGCGTTCCTCGAGTAAGACTATTGACAATCTCATTGACAATCTATTAGAAACAAAGTCGATTTCCTGGCCGAGTAAATGGTCGCCCTCAACAACAGTGTGCGGCAACTGCAGGCAACAATGACTGATGCTGTCAGTGCACCATAACGTGTGACCTTTCTACCGGACATGAACGTCCCTTTGTCCCTGCAACTTTACGACGACGAGTGTTCAACGCTCTTCACAATCTATCCCACCCTGGAGTCCGGGCGACAGTGAAACTCATCACTGACCGATTCGTCTGGCCCAACATCAACCGGGATGTACGGCGTTGGACCCGCTCCTGTCTACCATGTCAACGAGCCAAAACGCATCGGCATACTATTACTCCGCCAGGAACTTTCGCCACCCCTGATGCACGCTTCAGTCATGTGCATATTGACCTGGTAGGTCCGCTGTCACCATCTAACGGTTCTACCTATATGTTGACATGTATTGATCGCTTTACTCGGTGGCCGGTTGCTGCGCCCATTCCGAACATCAGAGCTGAAACCGTTGCGAAAGCTTTCTGGACTCATTGGGTGTCCAATTTTGGAGTTCCTGCGACTGTCACCACTGACCGCGGATCCCAATTCGAGTCCACGCTGTTTCGCGAACTAACATCCCTTCTCGGTACCAACCGAATCCGAACAACAGCGTACCACCCTCAAGCAAATGGTCTCGTCGAACGCTTCCATCGACAGCTCAAGACTTCCCTTATGGCCCAGCCTGATCCTTCCCGATGGTCTGATCACCTTCCCCTGGTGCTGCTGTCTCTCCGTTCCACTCTCAAGGCCGACATCGGTTGCACTGCAGCTGATCTTGTCTACGGAACCTCCCTACGACTGCCCGGTGAGTTAGTTTCTCCTTCAAACACGCTAACGTTTTTTGAACCTTGCAGTTATGTGGAGCGACGACGTAGTGCCATGCGCAATCTCCGCGCAACGCCCCCTCGAGCGTCACCGGCCAATTCCTTCATCCCACCCGACCTGGATAAGTGCGATTTCGTCTGGGTTCTGCATGACGCTGTCCGACGACCACTCCAACCACCCTATGACGGGCCGTATAAAGTCCTTCGCCGATCTGACAAAGATGTTGTCATCGACCGCAACGGCAAGACCGACACAGTCAGCATTGATCGCGTCAAGCCGGCCTACATCGACGACAGTGACCATTCCTCACCTCAACAACGCACCCCGCCCCAGACAGTGCGGCCTCCTCCACCTACTGGCGACAGCCCGCCTCCGGTTCGCCGCAAACGATCTGGTCGCCACGTCCACTGGCCCGACAGGTTTGTGGCTGGCTAGCGTGTCGACGCCTTCACTTTGTTTGGTGTCTGGGGGGGGGGAGTTGTAGCAGCTGCTCCAGTCCCCCTTTTCTCGGGCTCCGTTTTGTTGAACAATGGCCGCGACAGCTGTTGACACACAGCCACCCCCGCCGGCTAACACTCAGACACCCCCGGTCCAACTTCAGTGACTGTCGGCTGACCTCACAAACTTTCATCACCCTACGCGCGTCTAACGCCCTGGCCTGATCCCCGTGAGGCATTTTATGCATGCAGCCCTTATTCCTCCCCTAATTTGTCCAATCACACGACCAACACTCAGCCAGTCACCCCTCCTGCTGACCCAGGCGAACTTCCGCATAAACAACACACACACCGCGACTGACGCTCTCCGTGAACGGACGCTTTTCTCTGTTGCAAGCAAACCGCCAACTTACGGCAACCTGCCCTGTGTACAGAATAAACTAGTCCTCACAGCTCCCTGACTTCTGACAGTAGACGAAACGAACTTATAGTGCGTGGTTTAAGTTGATCTCACATCCTTGACCGCCACAAGGGGTGCCACTGCTGCCGACGTCGGGCCCTCTCGTCTGCATTTGCCCCTGTGTACAGCCGAAGCCTACGAAGACTTCGTTCGTCGGCTAACTACTGAGGCGGCATTGGCCGACAAGGCGGTATACGTATATTTGTTTGGCTGTTTTCAGATCAGACAGCTGGTCGTGGTGGGAGGGCGGAGTGAAAAAGACTTTGTCAGAAATCTTCTGACTGCTCTCATTGGTCCGCCGCTTTGTTAAACCTTCTGCTGGAGGGGCGGATCCAAGGAGAAGCGGTCGTTCCTTGTCTGCCCGTTATTTAGCATCGTCAACGGTAGGTCTACTTTTTGCTTATTGGCACATACAGATGCCAGCTGCCAAAACCCCCGTTTTAGCAACTGCAACAGGGAGGTACTTCGACTTACGGCCATAAATTGGTTCCATGGGTCGAAGGACCGTTATGGAGGACGATCGAGACGCGGGCGCAATATTCACACAGTACGACATTTTGCTTTGAATAACTGCCTAAATGTGTTCATTTTCAAGGAGTCCCCAATGATGAACTCGCATGCCCGCAACTCTCCCCTCCGAAGCACACGTAAGTTAAGTGAAAAAGACAGCTATTAACACACTGTATGCTATTTCCCTCCTTTCAATAATTATAATGATAGTCTGTATTTCGGAAGTATGTATACATACTAGTATGTATGAAGTAACAGTGTACTTTGCAATAGTAATTATTATATTGTAATAACTATTGCAAAGTACATTGTTAATTAACTCGATGATGTCTGCCTGAGGTCTGACGTTCGCAGAAGTAGTAAATCCGCCTACCTATCTCTTGAGTTCGAAAAGTGAGGCCTAGCTCATTTTACCCGGCCCTCGTTGACCGGTTTGGGGTCTGCGTCGGACCCGCATTTTACTGTGATCAGTGTCGCGCCCGCCCTGGTTGACTGCGTAGATAATTATCGTCCCTACTTCGCGCCGTCGCTGCCTCTTGTCAAGTTGGTTCGTAAAACCGAATACGGGCAAATAAATGAATTTGGCAAAGGACATCCGGGCTTCTCTGCATCAGCCTTGAGGTAAATTAGGGTCATGTACATAGAACTATGTGCGTGAATTTCCAGTGCCTGGGGACGGGCAGACGAATTCACTACTCGGGACGCCGGACCCGCGTCTGGCCTGCACCGAAGGAAGCCTCCTTATGATACGCCACCTAGGAATTTAATTTCCCCTACTATTGACATTATTGATTAGTTCAATGACAAGAGCATTTCCCATGTTTTACCACAGTTCTTTTTTTTTACAGGAACCGCCCATAACCAGTGGAAGCCCTTTAATATCCATAGGAGAACTGCATCCCCGCCTGTATTTTTCGTACCCATTTCTCATTTGTAAATACTCAATAAACCGTCGTTTCTAACCATTGTCTGTCCAATTTCCTATGTCGTGGGATAGAGTGAACGCTAACTAGGTTGTCCGGTTGTGCACTTACGCGGGGTGTTTACCGCTGATTTGCTTTAGCCGAAGCTGACATGTAATCGTGCTGCGATAGCCGACCGTTTAGAATGAGTGCACTCGCGAGTAAAAAATGGAAGTCATTAAAGGGCGGGAAACGAATGGAGAATGGGGAGATCCTATCGGTTGTCCGGTTGTGCACTTACGCGGGGTGTTGACCATTAATTGTCAATCAATTGATTTGCTTTAGCCGAGGCTACGAGGATCCAGTGACACATGTTATCTTACAGCGACAGCCGCCAGTCTAGAATGAGTGCACTCGCGAGTGAAAACGGAGGCCATAAAAGGGTGGGGGAAGAATGGAGAATGGGGGGCGCCGCCACGCATTTTTTTTCGGATGGTGTGGCCAGACCTGGCTGTGGTGTCGAAGGCCACACCTTAGTCACGCCAAATGGCCACCTTTGGCCGAGTCGTAGCCACGTCTCGCCGCGGCGGCAAGGGGTGACCAGCCGCGGCTGGTGCTGGCAGTGAAGTAAAAATAAATTTTCAGATGCATTTTAGACGAGGTGGGCAGAATCTGTATAATACGCAATTCGTGGTTGCTGAATTGGTAGTCCGTTGAGAAAAATAATGAGCAAGCAATGAAAAAACCTCACCCTAGAATAAAATTAATTGAATTAACTTTATAGGAAAAAACTGTCGCCCATGAAAGGATAGAAATGCGGCAGGACCTGCCTATATGTGACAGTGTATAACGGATTATAATCAGACATCGCCAGGGCAGAAGTAAATGTCAGCCTTGAGGGGTATGTATGCGGGTCAGACAGGACTGGCCCACATGTGGTATTTTATAAGGGATTCAAAACAGATATAGTTAGGGCATACTTCATACATCGAGTGAGACTATTCACGTCTAAGTGGCGGGACAAAAGGAACCCTTACGCGATTGGTCACAGTCCCAGCCGAGGGGTGGACAAAAGAGGTACGATCAAATTACTAGCAGACGGCGAATACAGAGGAGTCCACCGTGGGCGTCGACAGACCGCTTGAGGTCGAAATGAGGAGATGGCATCAAGAACCGCGACAGAATTACAACCAAAGCTGCTCAGATTCATGGCTTTATATTCCACAGTTTATATCTTCCTGAAATTAAATAAAGACTTTATCGAATATTTGCACTGCACATTTTTCAGCATTGTACATCCCTTAGTTTGATGAACGAGGCTAATCGTTCGAAAATTGAAAAGGTCCAAAAGCATTTTTCTAGAAGACACTTAAGCACGATACACCCAAAAATTTCCTACTCAGATAGCTGCCAGCTAAGTAGCCTAAAATTTCCGTCTCCTCTTCCGCATTGATTATAGTTCAAATCTTCCTCGGCTTTCAGCCTTCCCCCCTGTTAGTTGCCCATAGATCTTCGTAATTGTTCCTTGATTGCACCTTCTTACGCTTCCTCCACCTCTAAGAGCTTTCTTTATTGCTTCCTGGTATGCTTTACTTTGGAATAACCTTCCAATAAATATAAAACCATTAGATAATCTACGCATATTTAAGAGAGGGTTGTGCCACTCTCTGAATGCTGACCCGATCATATTTTATTTTCCTTATCCTTCGCGGACAACTCTCTCTACGACATTGAGAAAGGGTCATCAGGAACTAAGGACTCCGCCACCAAATTACCGTATCCGTTCCCATTTCCTTCCCGGTGTGTGGATTCGTACTCTAGGATATCTCATCATGAATTTTGATTTTTTTTCGATTTTCAGTTCATACATCGTGTCCTTCACAGAATGCGACATCCTTCCTGAAAAATCTTCTTAAAGAAGCAGCGGGCCTAGGTTGACATGCGCGCTCTAAGCGACCTCCGTTTCGCTGATCGCCCACCCTTGTCAGGAATCCACTCTGGCCCCTGCGATTTAGAACTCTCACTCCCAGGCGACGATTTTCGCGATCCTTAATGTCATCTCATTGCTACCTCAAGTGGCCTGTTGACGATCACGGCGGACTCCTCTGTTTCCGCCATTTGCTAGTAGTTTGGCTGTTCAGTGAAGAGGTCTAAGTGTCGCATTCTCCCTTTTACGTTTTGATGACCGACCTTGCCTCTAATGTCCTCTCCTCGACTGGACTCTAGGCGTCTAGCTCCCTCCGCTCTCGCCACTTCGCGGCGGATAGCCTTATCCGGTTTAGAAATTCTGCCTTGACTATTTCCGTTTCTAATTCCCTATGCAATACCGTATGCATACCAGTCCTGTTCAACCCGCATATGCATCCCTTCATGAGTGGCAGTTTTTTCTCCTTAAAATCCAACCAATTTGAATTCATTTTGTCCTTTCCAAAAGAAGGAGTTTTTCACTGCTCGCTGACCATTTTGAATATCTGACTGTTTATTCTCTAGCCGTGGATTGAATACTGTGCGAAATTTGTCCATTTATTCTAAAGTTCACTTTACAGCATAATTCAGTATATATGAGGGATAGAGCCAGAGCCTTGGAAAACACTATTTACAGATAGCGTATGACAAAAAACATGCCGATATTTGCATAGCAGTTATGCCAGTCATTGATATCATGTAAATGTTTGACCGTCATGCATAAATTTATCTAGTCTTCTTTTGAAGGTCTCAACGTTTTCCGTTAAGACAACGGAATTCCGCAATTTGTTTCATACCCCAACCAGCCGGTGGGAGAAGAATTTGGCCCACCATTCGAATTTGGCATATTTTATCTTCAATTTGTAGTGGTGCCCTCGAAGATTTGTCGTCCGCGCCAGTTCGAAGAAATCGTATGTCACCCCGCCGCCAATAAAAATTCTGAAATCTCCCGTTAAGATAGCGTCTTCCTTTTTATTGGCGGCTAATCGATACGAATAAGAAGGGATTTGACCGATAACTAACTTAGGTTGGTGATAGTCTAGTGTCCAAATCTTTCAGAACCAACCACCAACGACAGTCATGAGTAACCAATAACTGACGTCGTGCGCATGTGCGGATGGTATAAAAAGGAGCCGCCTTATGTCTGCGCATTTTCGTCTT